TTAAAACATCAATTTTGTAAGAAAATTTACTCACATCTGGGAAGAGTGTTCCATTCTGTCCCTTTGCGTACAGACTTGAGTTTGCTAAGACCCGGGCGTCATGAACACGTCCTGGCCACCCAATATATATGTCTTGAAATCTGAAAGTAAATAGATCAATAAATAAATACAGTATTACAACATGTTGTCACAAAATAAATAAATGGAATACTTATGAAACTCAAATGCACAGCATTATGCATCAGTCAATTTCAGCTGTGCCCATCTCCCGGGGCCCTTTTCTAATCCTGGGGGTGGAGCTATTGACACCCTATCGTATGGCCCAGGGGTGGTGACTTAAAATGAAACCTTGTACCTAGCCTGCAAGCAGACGTTCTTTCCCCGGAGATACTGATATACAAGGGTGCTGTGAAGTGACCTCTCCCGAAAGACATGTTTAAAGTTATGGTGGAACATGTGTTATCAATGAAAGATATGGAGGGAAAGATATTGTATCAACATGCAAGTCAAGCAATTTGTTGAAACATTTAATAATTTTATGGCCCAGAGGTGGGGATATAGATCTATGTTTTTTGCCCAGGGTGGGGGCACATAGCCATTGTCTTTCCAGCAATGTGGGGGTTGGCCAGGGGGAGGGATAGCCACTGTTGGAATTAACTGATACATTTACTGTATGCAGGTACAGTGACCACTGTCCACTGCGCATATCACATTCAAATCTGTCAGTGCTTACCTTCGTTTGTGATCAACAACAGCCTGTAAAATTATGGAATGGAAGTGTTTCCTGTTGAAATAATCACAGTGGTGTTCTGTTGGAGCTAATATTGGAATATGGCACCCATCAACTGCACCAACACACTGAGGAAGGCCACTCATTATCCTAAAGGCATCTTTTGTTTCTTGGACTCGTTCGTTTGAAACAGTTGTGATAAACCTTTTCAAAAATACAGACACCAACGCATCAGATACGTGATGGGTAATTTTGCAGCAGGTTGAACGACCAACCCCAAATAACTGTCCAAGTGAACAGTAATCATGTCCGCTGGCAAGCCTCCATAACGCTATTGCTATCCTTTTGGATACTGGTATGGTCTCTCTGAAACGGGTTTGTTGTTTTTCAAGGAACGGCGCCAAATATCGGCATAGGTAGAGAAAGGTTTCCTTCTTCATCCTCAAATGTTCGATCCACATTTTGGCTGTCCACTGTTGACTTGAGATGACCCAATATGAATGGTTTGGCTTAAACCAACTCCAGACATCTCTGTTCGTTAGACAACCATATAACAATGTGATGGTTAAACTTGCATTAACCGTATTTTTCCATTGCTTTCCCACCATTTCTCGAAGATCATTGATTTTCCTGATCTGAATGGTACTCTTTTTTCTCTGACGACCGATTCTTTTGTGCCGTTTCAACAGGAAGAAATAGAACCAGAGAAACACTCGTGGATCTGCCATTATTGACGCTCAAACATAACCGCTGACATTCATAATTAAATGTGAGCCTGATTGCTTTGGCCTGGAGTTGGGCGTCAAGCAGGGCGGCGGCGTCAAGCTAGCCTGCTCGCAGGCCGTTGTCAGGCAGAGGCTGCATGGGAGGAACGGCCTGCGACCTTTATTAGTAAAAAGTCGATTTATGCGTACGGAGCGTACGCAAAATTCCCATTGGTCAGAAGTGCCCCATGAGTTAATATCGTGCAAATATTTAACTCGTACGACATTTCGCAATGTAATTTTAAAGCTGGTATTCAATCAGTGGCGTATAAAACCATGACTTTGTTTATCTCTTCGAAGAAGTAACTGAATGTATTTGAGAAACCTTTCAATTTAAATTAACGTTGAAGGATGAGCGAAGGTTAGCAATATTAACTGTACTTCCAATGGGATTTGATAAAAGTTTACATGTAATATACCGATACTTTGTCTTCGTCAGCTATAATAATAAAGCTTTTCCAAAGAAGTACAAGGGAAAGCTTCAACGTATGCCTTGCTGATCTTTGCAGAGAGTAAAATAAGTCTAGTTCAGGCTGACAATTTATCAAACCGCGTTTGCATCACTTGCAGTTTCAAACGTTGAACAACTTAAGGTTAGCCCAGCGAGACGTTCGTTGAGACACAGGCAGTGAATCAGCTAGTATAAAGCAGTTGATTGTCAAATGCCTCCGAACATTTTTCCCAAATACTTCCCTGTCAACCCAAGGCTTTCTGCCTAAACAATCTGGTCTTGAATAAGTCAAGACAATGGGCAAATTCAGTATTGAAACAGACGCCGTCGAGGAAAGTCGTTCTTAGAACACCTGGCCAATTTGAATTTACACCTGGAAATTTTGCAATAGTCGTTTGCATGTTTTTTGACCGAAGTTCACTCTCTCTTTGAGACTTTATTTTTGGGAGTCTCAACTAGTGACATATATTTTTACAACAAGAGCTTTTTACAAAAAAAATGTAGTTATTAAACACGGCAGAATCGATGCCACGGCCACGGGTTTTCAAATTGTCTATTGAGTTAATTGTATTATTGAGCAAATGACAGACTTCACACAATAATGATTAATGTTGTTTTTTTAGCCTGCTATTGTTCGACACTTTTAATAAATAGTGTTTGTTACTTTGTTCAAAACCTAAATATGTTTCCTTAAATCTTACAGTTATGTTTTGGATATAAATATATAAAATACATTAACTAATAGAGAGTAAAATTTTACGTCTCTGTAGTATAGTTACATAATTTAAAACAGCAACAGTAGCGTAGCCAGCCTAAAAATTTACTCCTGCTATGTAAATTTCAAAGCATTATCATTATTCATTTCTTTAGAAATTCATTGTTTTTACAGTCTACAAACACATTAATATTTGCATAGCAGGAGCAAATAGTCAGGCTGGCTATGCCACTGGACAGCAATATACAAACGGGACTATTAGAACACTTTAGGGAAAAAACGACCATGAATTATTTTAGATTAAAGTTTAGACCTTGGCATCCTAGTGAAAGATACAGGCGTAAAATTGTGCGAGAAACTGTTTGTTGTTGTTAATAACCTCTGGTAATCTAATTAACAAAACTTGCTTTGATTGGCTACTATTTACCGGATATTCAATTATCTCAAAGGGGGCATATTGAAAAAATATCAATAAAAGTCGCAGGCTCTATATAATAGAGCCTGTGAGCAGGCTAGCGTCAAGCCAGTGTGAACGCGTCACAATTGGCCCAGGCCAGGCCCAAGCCAGGTCCAGGCCAGGCCTGGGCCGCTAGTGTGAACGCGGCTTAAGGTAACTGTGAATCTCCCTTGTGCACACAAACTCGAAAAAATGAGGGTTTCTAATCTTGCAGGCTATTTACACTTGACAATCTAGCACGTTCAAAAATCCAAGTATCGCAGGCACATGGTCAAGTGGATCACCACTGATCTAACAAATAATTTATGATTGGTAATTTTTATTTGCTCTTATAGACAAACTGACCAAAAACCTAGTGATAAATGCCGTAGAGATGGACAGAAAAGCGAATTTGAATAAACGACCAATGGACAGGTCAAACCAGAATTTCGATGCCCTCATCAAGACCGTTCAAAGTTGTGGTGTCTCATTTGACGTATGGGAGAAAGTTGAAGAGGGCGGTCGAGGTGGCGTCTATGACTTCACAAGCCTTATGGGGTCAGACAAGCGTCTGCTCCTTAAGGAGTTGCCAAGCAAGCTATCTAGCATACTTCCAGACAACAACAACAACAATAACTTTATTACACCTTTTTTAACATTAATTATTTACAAAATGGAAAGTATCAAAATATCAAAACAATATATAAGTTGATGTGCCACATATGGTATATATATATATACTATGTTTAAGGTGTCTAGAAGCTAAATAAACTGAAGTTTTCTAGTTAGCTCCCAGCTATATAAAGATATATACTGATTTAATATAAGTACAAATAGTACAAGTGGGACAATTGTTAGACTCTGGCAGGTAGTGATTAGGACAATCACATTGGCAATGTTTTGCTATGTATATATTAATATTGTTTTGATTAAAATATATTTGACATGATCTATTTTTCTAGGAATTTAATGAAATTTGTCAACTTTTGGGTGTTGTGTCCCCAACAGAAGAACAAATAATGAATTACTTGACAAGGTAAGTTTTGCTTAAAACTGAAAAAAAAATAATTCAATACTGCAGCAATAAAGAGTACCATACAATATTTATCATTTTAGGCTGTGAATTGGGTGAAGTTATTCCTCTTGCTCAATGGCAAGAACTTGGAGTACGAGCCAGCAAGGATCACTCCATATATGCATGCCATGGTTTACCATGTACCACGTTTCATGCAAATGCATCATGGGGTAAAGAAATTTACTGGTCAAGGTATTGTACTTTATTGTTGTAACTTGTGTATATTATGCGTTCAATCATTTTACATTAAGTGTTTTTATTATTTTGCTATCATAGGAGTCGAAAAACTTAATGACGATTGCAGACGAGTCCATTTGCAAAGGTCCAAGAAATGGGATGCCCACACAGATGTATTTCTTGTTGGAAAACGGGTCGAGCACTTGTCCAACTGTGAACGTATAACGAGGCCCTACTTGAAAAGGAACAAGAACTACTGGGAAAGTGCGATAAAGGAAAGCCGTTCAAAGCGAATTTGTGTGTCCGCACAAATTAATGAGGAAACAGAGGTTGACATAAACTTGTTGACCGCAAATGAAATCAAACACAAACTTAAAGATTTAGGTGTCTTGACAAAACTAAGGAGCTTGGAGAAATTGAAAAAGCTCCTTAGAGAGAGCTTAACAAATAAGGAAAACAACAACATTTAGGGATGAACGATATATTGTAAATAAAATAGATTTTAAAATAAATATTATGTAAATAAAGTTAATTCATTGGAACCAGTCAAGGGTTAGTTTTATCAAAATACCAGGATTCATAATTAAAGATTCAGCCTTATTGATTACAAGCTTTTGTCTGCAGTCTTTGACAAGTGGAGTAGACGGTGGAAGACTGCAGACTGGCAGTGAAAAGCTCGTAATCAATATTTAGTATTTATTTAAATAATTCCTGGTTTCTGATTGGCTAACTGTCAACTGTGAAATTGTCATATCAACTCAATGGCTAACCAAATACGGATTTTTCACATTCATATTAGCAAAATGACGTCAAAGAGTCAATATGAAAAAATTTTGGACGCGTTTGCGCCATATTACTATGACGACGAGAATCATATTGACTCGCTGACGCCATTGATATGACGCGACGACGGCTGCCGAAGGACTAAGGAATTGTTTTTTTCTTAATACAAATAAAATACAAACGTTTGTTTTGAAATTTTTAAATAAATAATGAAACAATTATTGAATATGACGAATTATCAAGCCCTCAGTTTGCCGTTACCAACCTCAGGCTTCGGTTGATAACAGCAAACTTTGGGCTTGATAATTCTTCATATCGTGCTCAACCTCATTCAATAATTGTTAAATATTTAAACCAGAGAACACCTGAATCTTTTATTCAAAATGCAGTAGTTGCAATTTTATCTGTGGTTACATATATTATGACCACTCTATATTTTTGGCTTTTAATGGGAAGTCCACTGAAATGCCATTTTCATCTATATCCACGTGGTACCACCAATAATCCGGAAGGTACTTCAATTTACTAAAATCATTCTTCTGGTATAAATGATGGCCACAGTGCTCACAGGTAACTCCTTTCATGTACACAACATATCTCCATACATCTAAATCAATAGTGGCATATACCGGTGCTGATCTTCTGCTTCGAAGAGCACTAGTGATAGCACAAGTAAATTGCAGGGATGCCACTTGAAGCCTCTCATCTGTCACAACTGCTGGTTCCTCATAGTTTCTGCAAATATAGATATTAATTAATATTACAAAGTGTATTAAAATTTATTTTAGTATACAACACCTCTTCGTCAAAGGCCCTTCATGTTCATTTATACCCATGAGACCTCACATTTTAACAATGTTTAATAAGCTCAACTTTTGGTCAATATTCATTTGGGTTATTATAAATATTAATTAAACAAACCTTAACAGATCTGATGGGAGTACATATGAATATATATTTATGAAGAAAACTGCTGGGTAGAAAATGCGCGGGCTCAAATGTCCGGCATTTCTGACCATGATTGCTAATTTTAAGCTTAACTTGAAACATGCAGATTAACATCAAGTAATCCTGCCATTGTTTCTATCTATTTAAAATAATCTTCTTGTAAATACTATATTTTTTATTTCTATTTGTGTGAGCATGGCCGGTTGGAAGATCACCTTTTTTCTTTTTATATTGTGTACATTATTATTTTTAGAGGTTGAAATTGTACCGTGTTAAAATATTGTTCATAATAATAATAATAATAAATAATAATAATATTGTGTTTAAGAGAGCAGATGCTAACAAAGCTAAATTACATGTTGAAAATTGTGTGGCTGCTATACGTAACTGGCTGATCTCAATTGAACAGAAACTAAATCAAGACAAGATGGAAATCATGTTAATCTGCTCCAAGTATCGTTTACCTCTACCTTCACAGTGTTTCAACATTGGAAATGAAACATTGTTGAGTGAAGCTTCAGCAAGAAATCTGTAAGTTGGTTTTATGTCACTTGACACTCATATTACTGGGATATGCGAGACAATTAGAATGCAATCCACGAGTTTGTAACATCAAAACTTGATTATTGTAATTCCTTGCTTTTTGATTCTCCAAAGCATCAGTTAAAGAAGCCACAATATGAGAACAGCACGACCCAGATTGTCTGTCAGATTGGCAAATATAATCATATAACACCTGTGTTAATTTATCTTCACTGGCTCCCAGTTCATTACTGAATAGTTTTTCAAAATTCTTATAATAGTACAAAAGTCACTCAATGTTACTTCTCCTGGCTATTTGACAAACCTATTACATAACCATACTCATTCGTGATCTTTGTGATCAGTATACACCATGCTTTTAGATCATCCAAGGTCATTCACAAACACTTGTGGAGAAAGGGTATTTTCGGTATGTGCACCAAAACTGTGGAAAAATTTGCCAATGGCATGGCACAGCCTGGTTCACCAGACAGATTTAAAAAGGCTCTCAAGACATATCTTTTTAAATAATTTGTAAATAGTGGCTCTTTCTATTTGTAAATATAATCGATAACTGTTTTAATATTTTATAGTAATAGCATACATGAGCATAGGATATGTCCACTTTGGAAATAAGTTTTTTTTATTATTATAATAGACCTTTCCCCTTTTACCAAAATTTTGATCTAGGCAAGTCTAGACAAAAATTTCATCACAGCTTGAAAGAACATCACAAAATTAGTAATATTCCAAAGTTTCGTTCCGAAATGTTGTAAAATGAGTAAAATAGAGCCCCGCAAAGTTTGCAATTTTCAGTCATTTTGCATTACAAACGGGAAATTGCAGCCCCTACACCCGAATCGGATGTCAATTTCCCGTTTGTAATACAAATTGACTGAAAAACGGCAAATTTCGCAAGGCTATATCATCCGCATTTTACAAGATTTTGCAACAAAACTTTGGAATATTACTAATTTTGTGATGCTCTTTCAAGCTGTGATGAAATTTTTGTCCAGATCGAAATTTTAGTTATAAGGGGAAAGGTCCATTACAAAGAGAACAGTGTCCATAATTTACAAAATGTGTTCCTGCATTAGCCAACTCTGCAACACCATGCAGGCAGACCATGCCATGTATCTCATCTCCAAAAATGTGATTCAAGAAGGTATGGAAACTGAATTCCAACTTGGACATACCTACAGCCAAAAAACAACCAATATGAAGGCTCAACAAGTTGTCAAATAATCAGCACAACCTCAATTCCCCCCTGAAGCTATAAAGAATGAATGGCTACTTGTGCTCATTATTGATGATCCAAGTACTTAAATCCCTTAAAGCTATCAAAATGAAAAAAAATATTTCCAAGATCCATCATCATGGTGGTGTAAATATCAAAGCCTGCATAGATGCTATAACAGCTCCACAGTCAATGGCATTGCTTTCCAGCACCTACTCAAATACCATGCCATATAGTGGTTGACAAAGTAATTTTTTACCCCTAACCCAGAACGGCACCATTGTAGAAGAACAACTCTTTTATTGTGATGACAACAGAGTGTTGGCACATGAGGACAATAATAATAATAATAATAATAATAATAATAAACTTTATTTAAAGAAGGTGTAATTATACAAAAAACTGTTTAGCAATGGTAATCTTACACTGGGCCTTCTGTTCAACTGTTATCATCTACTTATTACAAATTTACTATTAAAACTACACATTAAATTGGACATCAGTACAACAAGCACATATTAAAAGTCGTACAAACAAATAGCTTATATATAAGTATCTAAAAAGTATTGATAGGCTCTTATTTTAAAGGAGCTTAATGACGTTGATTGTCTGGTTGCACGTGGTCAACTGTTATATAATGTTGCACCACTGAATTTCAACGTTTTCTGCCTAATTGTTAGTTTCGTTCGCGGTATCCACAGTTTGCTGTTCTCTGAGCTTCTTGTAATTCGTTTTGTCACTGATGACTTTAAGACAAACACGTCACTTATGTACTTGGGTACCCAGTTGTTTAATGATTTATATACCATTATTGCTGTTCGTAGCATTGCTCTTTGCTGTATAGGCAGGACTCCAGCAGCTTTAAATAGTGGCCCAGAAGAGGTTGTTAACTTCGGTTTGTCGTATATAATTCTCAGAGCTAACTTTAGGAGTTTATGTATGCGAATAATATGACATGATTGTCCCCAAACTGTACAGCAATAATCTATGTGAGGTTGTAAGAAACACTTGTAGTAAATTACTTGGGGACCAATAGGCATATACTCTTTGATCTGTCTCAGAAGTTGAATTCATTTAATTAGAGACTTTCTACTTTGTCAATCTGCTGTTTCCAGGAAAGATGTTCATTCATAACAACCCCAAGTATTTTCTCATTGTTGGTATTCTCTAACGGCACACCGTTAAATTCTACTTGTAGATTTGAATTTAATGTGGCTGAGATGTTGTTATCATCATTGCCTTCATTTTACCGTCATTTATTACCATGTTGTTGTTAGTACACCAAGCTTGAACGTTTGTCATATTCTCAGTTAGTTTATTATTGAGTTCCTCAACTGTTCTAACACTTGTATGGATTGTCGAATCATCAGCATACATGTCTGTGTTGGAATTGACATATAGTGAAAGATCGTTGATAAACATTATAAACAATAAAGGTCCTAGAATACTTCCTCGGGGGACACCATACAGAGAAGATTTCTTAGATGACAAAGTTCCTTTAAAGTGCACACATTGGTCTCTTTCTTGCAGGTATGACTTAAACCAGGTTAAAGTCAAATCATCGCATCTGTAAACTGCAAGTTTTCGTAATAACAAATCTGTATCTACCATGTCTAAAGCTTTGCGTAGATCAATAAATACTGCCCCATTTATGAGGCCGCTCTCCATGTTGAATGTCCACATATCCACAAGTTTGCATAGTGCTGTTTCACACAAGTGATTTCTTCGAAAATCAGATTGGGCATGATGTAATAAGTTATGACTCACAAGAAACTGGTAAAGATGATGGTGAACATGACGCTCGAGAACTTTACTGACAGCGCAGAGTATGGCTATGGGCCTGTAGTTGTTGACATGACATTTAGATTGGGATAATTATTGATGTTTTCCATTTTGTCGGAAACATTCCGGATGATAAACTTTTATTGAAAATCTTAGTCAGAGATGGAGCTATTAAATAGGTTGACATCTTCAAAATCT